AAGGCAGGAAGCCAGAGGAGAGAGGGTGAGGCGAAGGGGGGGGGGGGCGGGGGATGCGTAAGGGGGCAGGGAACGGGAGGGAAGGGGGGGTGAGGCAGGACGGGAGGCGATGCCAGGCAAGGGGGGGGGGACAAGGCTCGGCCCGCAGAGGCTTGCTCGCGTCACCGCACGTCGTTCACCAGCAGCTCCCCGCTCGCCAGCACGGCCACGAGCTGGGGGCAGCTCCCGCCCGCCCTGAGCAGGGCGGCGCCCAGCGGGTGCCGCGGCCCCAGGCCCCGCGGGGCCGCCTGACCAGGGCCGTGCTCCTCCCAGGAGGCCGAGGGGCAGCATGCGCACGAGCCGTCGTAGGGGAACAAACAATGACATAAACAAACTAACTCGGAGGTCAGCGCGGATTTCTCGGATCAGCGCTGGGGCCCCCTGGCGGCGCCCCCGGCGCCGCCCCTGGCGCGCTCCGCGCGCCAGGGAGGGGGGTCCAGCGCGGATCCGAGAAATCCGTGGGGACCTCCGGGTGTTTCTGTTTATGTAAGTTCTTGTTCCCCTACGTCGGTGATCCGCGCGGGTTTCTTGGGCTGGCGTTTCGATGATGGGGCCGTGCGACATGAAGGCCTGGCCTAGGGCGAGAGGAAGTCCTGAACCGATGCAGACTGAGCTTGGAAGCCCTTTCCTGTCCCCGTTGTCCTCACAAGACGCCCCATCACCCCTCCAGACCCAATCCGGCACCGTGCCTCCTGGCGCGTTGAGGGGTGGAAGAATGCCAAGTGCTGTCTGGCAGGGTGTCGGTAGTCTTCTGAGGGACCCACCCACCCCTCTCGTCGTACCCCCTCGCGTGCACCATCCCTACTCCTGGAGGTCCTGGGCGACCATGGCATTTCCCCGGGGGTCGCGAAGGCTGCCAAGACGGTCGAGAAAGGCCATCGAAGCCGCCAAAACGGCCGACCATGCATCTAAAACAGCCTGAAGTGGCTCCAAGACGGCACAAGGTGGCCTCATGACGTCGAACCGAGCCCATCCTCGTCGATGCGAGCAGCTGCCACCGAGAATGCTGGACTCACGGTGGCGAAACTTGCCGCAGGCAGCTGGATATTTGAAACCCCGATCTTTGGGTGGTGCTGATAGAGGAACGGCATAAACATACACTTTCGGCGGTCCGCGCGGACTTCCTGGATCTGAGCTGGACCCCCCTCCCTGGCGCGCGGAGCGCGCCAGCGGCAGCGCCAGAGGCGCCGCCAGGGGGGGCCCAGCGCGGATCCAAGAAATCCGCGCACAGCCCTCAAAGTTTAACTATGTCCGTGGCGCTGTGTCTCCTTCAAGCTGGGCCCCCCTCCCCGCCACCCTCCCTGGCGCAAGGGCGCCGTCAGGGGCTCGTGGGCAGGGTCGGCGCGAGGAGGCGAGGCGCGGACCTCCGGACGGACGTCTGCGGAGCCAGCCACAATACTTGCGCCGATGTCTCCTACTTGGGCTCCTCTCCTCTCCTCCTCCTCCTCCTCCTCCTCCCCCTCCTCCTCCTCCTCCTCCTCCTCCTCCTCCTTCCTCCTCCTCCTCCTCTCCTCTCCTCCTCCTCCTCCGCCTCCTCCTTCCCGCCCGCCTCGGCCACCGCCGCCCTCTCCCTTGTCGGTAGCCCTGACGAGGTTGGGGGAGAGGGTGCCGAAACGCGCCCAGAGTCCAGCAAGGCATGAGGGTGCAAACCCGACTTGTCTGGCTGATGCTCTGGGGGGGCCTGTGCTCAGGGGAGGCTGCAGCACCGCTCAACGATGTGCTGTTTAACCGAACCTGCAGGGTGGGCCCTTTCCCAAATCCGTGCTTCGGTGCGGATCGTAAGCGCGCCTCGTCTCCGTCGTCGTCGTCGTCGTCGGCGTCGTCGTGGTCGTGGTGCGTGTTGCTCTGCTCGGGATTCTGTTTCCCTTATGCAGTGACCACCACCACCCGTGCCCGCCTCGTGCCCGCTCTGTGAGCTGGCTGGCTTTCCAGGGTTTCGCTCCGGGTCGCGCGTGCACGGGAGATGGGACGCAGAAGGAGACACTAGTACTAGACGTCCACGTTGGAGGCGCGCGTCCGACCCGAACATATGGTATACCCATATTGTAGTATGTCGTTTCCCGAGCGGTGTGGCCAGAAAACGCCCGCCGCAACGCATATACTATAAGATGTCTCGGTGCGCGCATCGCCCCTGGGGGGCGATGATCACATAGTATTAGCATGTTGGGGTGACGCTGGCGAGAGACCGCGTTCAGACGCCGGAAGGCGGAAACTGACCGCACGCACGCACACATGGGCGAGGATCCGAAACGGGTCTTGCGCGAGATGGCACAGCGACCTTACGCGGGCAGCTTGCGCGGGCCGCCAGCGCGGCACGCTGCATTGGAGACGAGGGCGCTCACGCGCGACCTAACGCGGGCAGCTTGCACGCGAATGTCGGCGCAAGTGAACTCGTTTTCTCCCGTCGCTCACATGTTGCTGACCTCTGGGCTGTTTAGGGCCAGAATCAGAATACGTGCTCCCCGACACGTCGGTGGGTTGCGTTCGGTGTCGTCGGGTCGTTGCCAGGTTCCCTCCACGTTCGCCTCCTCCTTGCCCCCCCCCCTCCTCCTCCTCCTCCTCCTCCTCCTCGTCCTCCTCCTCCTCCTCCTCCTCCTCCTCCTCCTCCGCCTCCTCCTCCTCCCGTCTCGCTCCGCCCGCTCGCCCCAGAAGTCGAGGAAGCCACAGGAGTAGAGGTCTCAAACTACTACGCAAACCCCCGATGTCATGACTCTTGTCACCACGTCGACCCCCGGAAAACCCCGATCCTCTCCCCGGCACCGGCTCTTCATCCCGAGTTGTTCCTTGACGGCCTCGAGGCCCGGTGAGGGCCCCCGGGAGACCGAAAATATGGAAAAGCCTCCCGTCGTGACTGCTTCCTGACTCGAGGGGATGGATGCGGAGGAGGGAGAGGAGGAGGAGGAGGAGGAGGAGGAGGAGGAGGAGGAGGAGGCGGAGTCTGGGTCTCGCTCGTCGGTCCTCGGCGGGCAGGCCCGTGGTCTCCCCGGCAGCGATCGTCGGGGCCTCGGCGCCCCGGTCGCCCCCGAGGGGCAGGCGGCGCACGCGCAGCCGCGGGCGCCAGAGGCCCCAGCGGCGGCGCAGGGAGACCGCCCACAGGTGGGGCGCGGCGGCGATGACCGGCCTCGGGGGGGCGGTTCCTCCTCGCTCCTCCTCCTCGCTCCTCCTCCTCCTCGCTCCTCCGCCTCCTCGCCCTCCTCCTCCTCCTCCTCCTCCTCCTCCTCCTCCTCCTCCTCCTCCTCCTCCTCCTCCATTCCTTCTGCACCTCCTGCTCATCATCCTTTTGCAGCAGCAGCGACCGAGACCTAACCCGTTCGATGAGCGAGCGGTCGACTCATCATCATCCTCCTCCTCCTCATCCTCCTGCTCCTCCTCCTCCTCCTTATACTCCTCCACCCCTTATCCTTCTAAATAACTTCTCCCTGTCGCACCCCGGGGCCCGTTTTTCAGGGCGGGCCAGGCGTTTCGCATGAGACTGCCTCACCACTCATGATTCTGAAGCTTCAAAATTGGCAACAGCTTCACAGATGATGGAGGGCGGCTGGTTTTCAAAATGTGGCTCTCGCCTTGGTGGCGTGCAGATTCGTTCTAAGCATCTGCAATAACTTCACGGATTGAGGATAACCCATTTTCAAAAAGTGGCTCTCGCCCTAGCGCCGCGCGCACTCATTATTACATAGTGGCAACAACTTCACGGATTGAGGATAACCCGTTATCTCAATGCGGCTGTCGCCTTAGCCCCGCGCACATTCTTTTACAAACATGCAAGAGCTTCACGGATTGAGGGCAGTTCCTTTTCAAAATATGGCTCTCGCCTCAGTGCCACGCACATTCGTTCATAATATTCGCAAGAGTTTCAAGGAATCCCACGATCAACGTACTACACATGGCGTTTTGGAAGAATTCAAGTTTTTGCGGGTGCAGCAATTACGTTGATTCAAGGTGTTGAAATCCCAATAATGGCTTTCTGGCACGATCCTAGATCGTCTAGGCGAAACAATCAGGTTGATCCGTGGCGTTGGAATCCCGAGACCAATGTTTTGGCATGCTTCCAAATCTTCAATCGGATGTCTTCCAACGAGGCAAACCCCTCAATGGAAATTGACCGTGATGGGGGCCTATGAAGAGGGTGCTTGGAGGGAGGGTGTATTCCAACATCGTTGATGGCTCTTGGGTTTTCACTGGTCCTCCTCCTCCTCCTTCGCCTCTTCCTCCTCCTCATCATCATCCTCCTCCTCCTGCTCCTCCTCCTCCCCCTCCTCCTCCTCCTGCTCCTCCTCCTCCTCCTTCTCCTCCACCTCCTCCTTCTCCTCTTCCTCCTCCTCCTCCTCCCCCTCCTCCTCCTCCTTCTCCTCCTCCTCATCCTCTTCCTCTTCCTCTTCCTCATTCTCCTCCTCAGCCGCCTCCTCCTCCTCCTCCTCCTCCGCCTCCTCCTCCCCCTCCGCCTCCTTCTCCTCCTCCTCCTCCTCCTCCTCCTCTTCCTCCTCCTCCCTCATCCTCCTCTTCTTACTATTATTAGTTTTGTCGGTAGTGTTATTATTATTGCTTGAATTATGTGGATTGGTATTGTTATTACTAGTAGTATTACTTCTCTTCTCATCGATCGCATTCTTCTTGTGATTACGAATATTACTCTTTTCATTATTATTCGGCTTCTTACTCTTGTGATCAGTGTTCTTATTTTCTATTTAGTAGTCCTTCTCCTCCTCCTTCTCCTCCTCCTGCTGCTCCTCCTAGATGGGGTCGGAGTATATGGGGTCGGAGGATCCTGCCGCATCGCCGCTACATCGGCGATGCATCGGCGATGCATCGACGATGAACTGGCGATGCATCGTCGACGTGGGCGAGGCATCGGCGAGGTTGGCGTGAAGCAAATCGGGCTGCGCGTCGAGCCGCGGCGAGCCTCAGCAGAAGACATCCGCCCAGTCGTCGCCAGACCCAGACCCCCTCGGGCAATGGAAAATTCACGACGGGAGATGTTTCTGTAGCTTCGACCTCTGGAAACTCGTACTGGCCCCTGGCCATCGCTCGGACGTCCATTCTCTGTGCTATCTTTGGTTTCGTGCGTGGTTTTTTCGCCGGATGATCCAGGATGCTCCCTAGTAATCCCCGCCGAGAAAAAGTGCACACGGCCGAGCGATACCAAGGCCCTCGGGACCGTCAGAAAACGACTCGGGATGAGAAACCGGGTCCAAGGGGAGTGGGTCGAGACCTCTGCGGGTCGACGTTGTGCAAAAATCATCGCGACGGGGGTCTGGGCTCGGGGGTGGCCCCTGAGATCCTGGCGCCTCGATTGTTTCGAGCCGGGCCTCTTCGCCCAGCTTCGGGACCCGGGGCCCTCACAGGTGGATCCGGCACGAAACACGGCGCAGAAACATGGGGTCTGTAGGGCTCTAGGCGTGATTGTTGCACGATGTCGCCGTTGTTTCTCTACGCCAGATCTCAGGGACTTGCTCGTCGGTTGGAAGAAGTGTTAGGTCGGGCATGTCCTCCTACAGGCGGAGTCTGGACGAACAACAAAAAATGATCAATTTTCAGCAAGGGTTTGAAAAATGATCAAAACATCGCCCCCTGTAGAGGGGCAGGCCCAACTTCAAAGAAGTGAACAGAAACATGAGGCTGGAAGGCGGTGAGGAGTAGAGTGGGCTTCCGTCCGCCCACCGAGGGAAGGCCACTCTACTCTCCTGAGGTGGGAAGGCGCCACAAGCAGATTGGGGACGTGAGCGTCCAAAAATACCTACTCTCAACGACTTGGCATGCAGATGAGGGGCGAAGAGACGGGCCGAGACATGGGGCCCTTGAGGGGGCCCCTTTTGGAACCAGCAGGGGCCCACCTCTCCTTCGCCCCCAGAACTGCACGTCCCCCCCCCATTACCGTTAGGTCGGGCATGTCCCCCTGCAGGCGGGTTTTGGATGACAAATCAACCATCATTCAAACATGCTCAAAAATAACGTCCCCATACTATGTTCTAACGATGCTTGAATACTACTACTCCTGTAGAGAGACATGCCCGACTTAACGTTACCGCCCGCCCGACGGCCCGGGCATGGCGACGAGGTCCGTCTTCGGCGCCAGGAAGATGGTCCCCGCCTCCTCGAGCACCAGCGCCTGGGCGTGCGCCGCGCAGAAGGGCAGGTCCAGCCGGGCCAGCACCTCCAGGCGCGGGCCCAGCAGCCACGCGGTGCCGTCGGAGAAGCAGAAGGCCAGGCGCTCCGTGCGCCCGGCGCCGCGGAGCTCCTGCTCCACGGCCCACTGGCAGCCGCGGCTCGCGGCGGCCACCGCGGACACCAGCGCGCGGAGGGGCAGCAGCGGCAGCAGCGCCCGGCGCACCAGCTCCCCGGGCAGCCGCCCCGCCCACTCGCCCCCGGCGGGCGGAGCGCCCCCGCGCGGGCCCCCCGCCGCGGGCAGCACGCAGCGCGGGGCCACCCACCGCGCGCCCCACAGCGCGGGCGCCTCCGCGCAGTCCAGGCGCGCCGACGGGCTCGACGAGAACCCGTCGCTGGCCCTGGGCGCCCAGCCGTCGGCCTCCAGCGCCTCCAGCCGCCCGTCCGCCCGGGCGGCCAGCAGCCTCCCCGACGCCTGGCACGCGTCGATGTCCACCACCTCCACCGCGCTGCCGCCCAGGTGCGCCGCGCTCCAGGAGTCGAGCTGGGGCGACGGCTGGCACATCACCAGCAGCGTCTCGTGGAGGGACAGCTGCCCGTCGGACAGGCCCAGCCTGTAGCAGCACAGCTGGTCCGACTGGTTGCCGAGCCACAGGCGCCCGATGATGCTGCCGCCTGCCGAGCAGCTGCCTCCGCCCTCAGCCGCGAAGGCCGCGGCGCCCGTGGGCGCCGGCACCCGCAGCCAAAGAGGCCTTGGCAGCGTGTGCCGGCCGTGCTGCGGGCCCCGGGCGCCCGCGAGGAAGACGGTGGCGCCGTCGCGCTGCCGGTGGATGGCGACGACGAGCTCCTGGCCGCACAGCGTCCCGCAGTGCAGGTGGTTGGCGGGGCAGGGGATGTGATGGGCCAATTTTCCACCACCGCTACCAGATGGAGGAGGAGGAGGTCCTCCTCCTCCTCCTCCTCCTCCTCCTCCTCCTCCTCCTCCTCCTCCTCCTCCTCCTCCACCTTCTCCTACCGATGTGAGGGTGGTGAAAAATGGGCCCAGGATGGGCACCTCGAGCTCGGGCTCGCAGCCCGGGCCCGCGAGGGGCAGGCCGTACCCGAGCACCGCCCGCGCCGCCGCGACGAAAAGCCGGCCTGCCCCCGCGGCCACACAGGCGGCGCTCAGCGGCGGCCCCAGCGGCGGCACGTCCGCGGCCAGGCCGCCGAACCTGAGGGCGGCGGGCGGTGGAGGACGATTGAGGCACGGCGCGGCCTCGCTCCTCGCTCCTCGCTCCTCCTCCTCCTCCTCCTCTCCTCCTCCTCCTCCTCCTCCTCCTCCTCCTCCTCCTCCTCCTCCTCCTCCTCCTCCTCCTCCTCCTCCTCCTCCTGGGCCCTTGGACGCCCAGACTGGAGTCCTCCCAGATGGGATCCGAGCAGACGCGGTCGGAGGATGGCGTCGGCGACGTCGGCGTTACGAGAATCAGGCTCCGCATCGAGCCGCATCGCCGATGCATCGGCGATTCGGCGCGATTCCCTCTGACCCTGCCATCTTCTCGGGCCCCATCTGGGAGGCCTAGACAGACCGAAGCCGAGGTTGGGAGCCCCTGGAAAGCTTCTCATTCTTATGATGCGGCTTGACCGTAACAAAATCTGGCCTCCAGGCCCCGAGAGCTGGTACCCAGGTCTCTGGGGGTCCCCTCCCGCTTGGTCGCCTGAGGCCTCCGAGGGACTCCACGAGGCCCCAATGGTGGCAAAAGCAAGTCAAAACGTTGATCCCCGCGTGGGAATCACGGGGGCACAGACATCCCTGCCGATCAGGCAACCACACGCCAACCATACCCCTGCAGGTCTGATTTCCGAGACACGGGCGGGGGCTCAGAATTTGAAAGATGTCTGCAGCCAAGCGAACCCCAACAGGGGTGTCTAGTACCCCAGCACCGAGTGATGCCGCAGGCCGATGTCATGTTGCATTTTCGGGGGCCTCCTGTCTGTCCCATCGAGTCGCTATTCGCTTCGAATCCGGGTCGAATCCACGAGTCTACATCGAATCCGCGTTGAACTCGCGACGGATTGTTACACTAGACTCGACAGCAATTTACAGGACAAACGCGGCTCGGGAGCACGTACGAGGTCGGCCAGGGCCAGAGGTGGAGTTACAGGAACATCGCTCTGGACGGCACCTGGAGGAGGGAAATACCAGCCTCAAGCTGGGCCCCACCTTGCCCTCCCCCCCACGTGCAGCAGGTCCCTGTCGCGCCGACTTCGGCGCTGGCTTCTGACACGACGGGGACCGCGTTCAACCTTGCACGATGCAACATCGACCGACTCTGGGCCGCCAGCGGCGTTCAACGTTGAACGCCGCCGGCGGGGTCGCCGCCCGTCGACACGACGCGCACCTACCGTACACCCCGGCGCCCCCGCCCCCGCGAAGGTGCAGCACCACTGAAAATGCTCCCGGTTTGCCCACTGCCGCCTGGCCAGGGGGAGGTGGCCGCAGTCCTGCCGCAGCTCCAGCCGCAGCGCCGGCGCCTCCGCCCCACAGCGCGCCGCCTCGCCGCCCATCGGCGCCCCCCGCGCGCGCGCGCGCGCGCCAGCGCCGCTGGCCGGGGGGGGGCGCCTCTGCGCTGGAGGCGCGCATGTTTAACGTCGCGGCGCGGCAGAGGCAATCCGCTCGCGCGCCCGAGCGCGACCGGCACACGGAGTCGCGAGTGGACCCGCATGCGAGAGGAAGGGGGGGAGGCGCGCACGGGGGGGTGGAACTAGGGAGGAGGCCTTCGCAGTCAGCGGGGGGGGCTTCTACAAAGGCAAGCGGCTGTTCAGAAGTCATCCCGGCTTCCGGGAAGCCGTCTCGGAAGCCTTTTGTGGGCCCTTCCGAGAAGGCAGCCGCATTTCAGGGAGCCCCCCGCCTCGGGGATTCTTGGGGCTCTCTCGGGGCCTCCTGCGGGCTGTGCAGGGCATCTTGGTGGCACGCTGGGCCGTGCTGTGCGCGACGGTTGCTACAGAGCTCTATGGAAAAACCCTGGCCGACTCGCCTTTGGGCCGTCTGGGCGGGTCTCGGGGCCGTGTGGGAGCCCTCTTGGGCCGCCCAGCGTCGCGCTTCGCGCTGCGCGCCTGGCGCTGCGCGAAGCACGAAGCGCCTCACGCCCCCGCGCCGCCCACCAAAGGGAGCAGAGGAGCACGAGGAGGACTCGGAGCCGAAACCCGCGAAGCGCGAAGCGCGCGAAGGGCCCCCTCGCGCTCCCCTCGAGGGCCCCCCCCCCCCTGCAGCAGAGAGCGCCCGCGCGCGCGCCGACCCGCGCCGCCCCCCCGAGGCAGGGAGCGGCCGCGCCCCTCGGAGCCGTCGCCGCAGGAAGAAGCCGAGGCCGCGGGCGCCGCCCGCCCCCCCCCCCCCGAGGGGCAGGGAGCGGCCGCGCAGCGCGTCCGTCGGGAAGCGGGCTCGACACGACGGGTTGTTCGTGTCGGATCGGGCCGCGCGGGCACGGCGCGTCGAGACCGCGTCGGATCGGCAGCTGCGTTTGGACTTCCTCCTCCTCCTCTCTCCTCCTCCTCCTCCTCCTCCTCCCCCTCCTCCTCCTCCTCCTCCTCCTCCTCCTCCTCCTCCTCCTCCTCCTCCTCCTCCTCCTCCTCCTCCTCCTCCTCCTCCTTTTCCTCCTCCTTCGCCTCCTCCGTAGAAGGTGACATATGTTAGCGAACATCGTTTGAAGTGTGGAAGAACTGGGAGAAAACTGTCGAAGCTCGATCCCTTGTCGGCTTTCAGACCTGATGCTGATTTGGCTGAATCTAAAGCTTGCACAGGAAGATGATTGCGTGCCAAAAGGAACTCACCACCCTCACAAGCCTGCTCAGATTCCTGTGGGACGGACCACTTCGCCTTGGGCCGCGCACTGTTAGTGAGAAGCTTGAGAGTCGATTCCTTCGCTCTTTTCCTCCAGGCGTGGATCCCTTTGCCCATCATGTGGGTCTCGCAGAAAGACACGTAATCGCACTGCTGCTGCTGCAAAAGCTGAACGCGCCCCCAGGCTTTGTCGCCCGTGCAGCTAATTTTTGCGAACAGGAGGAGGGGGAACGATCGATGCCATCAGAATCGCCTGGACTCCCAGCAGTCGGGGTGGCTGATGATGCCGCTGATCCAGTACCCGAAGTACTGGCCGTAGACCCAGTGGAGACGCGAGAGCGAGGGGAGAAGGATGTGGACCCAGTAGCCGTAGTACTGGTACCCAGACGTGTCGACGACCTGCTGGCGCTCCCGCCCCGAACCGATGGCTGCAAGCAGGGCGCCGCCGCTAGTCACTCGCGGCTGCCCTTGCCTGCGCTGCCCTGGCCCGCGACAGCAGAGCTGCTGGCAGACTCGCTGGCCTGGGCAGCCTGGGCGGCCTCGACCTTGGCCTGCGCCTGGAAGTTGACGCTGGACAGACGAGCCGCCTCCTCCTTGAGCTGCTCGTCGTTGTCTTGCTGAGCCTCGGGGGGGCCCGCGGGAGCTGCGGCTGGACATGCGGCCTCAGCAGGCTTCTCGCCGCTGCCGTTGCCGTCGCCCTCGTCCGCAGCCTGGCCGTCGCCGCCCTTGCGCTTCTTCTTCATCCTCTCCTGCCCATTCTCCTGGAGCGTGGTCCGACACTGCTCCAACTCAGCCTCGGGAGTGCGGAGCTGGGCCTACTCGGGCTCCTCGCAGTCCCAGCTCTCAACCTCTTGAAAGAGCTCATCATTGATCTCGGTGCCGAAGACTGACTCTGACTTGTCGGATGGCCTGGCATTGCGACCCCCCCCTGGGCCACTGCCGCCGTGGCCCGCTTGTTGGCCACCTCCGCCTTGACTTGGTCGAGGGCTGCAGCTTGCTCTTTTTCCTCGGCCAACGCCAGCTGCCCCCTGGCCCGCGCGACCTGTTGCACCAGCTGGTCGTGGCGATTGGCTGCTGCCCGCAGCGCATTCTCGGCCCTCTTGGCTGCGTCAAACTCCGAAACGACACGCGTCGCCTGCGCCTCCAAACGGGTCTTCCGGGCAGCAAGCACAGCACGTAGCTCGGCA